TTTTATAAAATATTTCCCCCCTTGGTAGTTTTTCTCCTTTTTTTTTGTTAAAAAAAAAAAAAAAAAAAAAAAACACACACACGCACAATTAGCAAAATTTGGCTTCTTTTAACCAAAAGTCTCTTATCTCCTTTACTGATCTCAACCTGACTGACGTTTTCACCTGCTTTTCTGTTACAAAATACAAAGTCAATTTCACAGTCCTGCCACTGTCGCAGCTCTGGCTGAGAAATCTTTCAACTTTTTACAAATTTTCATGCAAGAATCCTCTTGCAAGAGGGTTTGAGAGCAGAGATAATTTAAAGAGAAAATGAGAAGTGAAAAAATAAAATAAAATAGGAGAACTGATGAGAGGCACGGATCACAGCTGAACTTTCAGAAACCTTTTCTTCTGTTTTGTTGTTTGGACTTCCACTCTGTTGAGACGTGCAGGATTCACATCAACTTTGTGACTCTATGAAATTTTAGACACCAAAAGGCCAAGCAACTCCAGCCCACTGACACCTGAATTATCCACCTGCTTCGTTTAACATTTCCACCCAGCTCTGTCTTTACTACATTTTTGAGCCAATATGCTTCTTCAACCTTGATTTTCACCAAATCTTATACTTATTAGAGCTACTAGACTTTTTCATGTCATGTTTGTATGCTAATAGTTAATTCCTTCTACCTAAAACAAGTAATAAATACAGAAACTTAAATGCGCTCTACAGGATTTAGATCTTATTTTAATGTGTTGGATTTTGTCCAGCAGGGGGAGAGCGATAGCTGCAGCGAGAAGAACCTCCGAACATAAACCGCCGGAGGAGAAAACTGTCTCCGTCATTTCAGATAATGGCGTCAGACTGAAGCGGAACCACTGCTCTAACATTTCCTGCTTTCATCTTTTGTAATTTCTTTTCTTTTTTTTTTTTTGTACGTTCACTATTTTGCTAGCTCGGTTTTACACCAGAAACATGATCGACTTTTCTCTTTGAGTGGGGAAGTAACGCCACTGTGGCTCTGATTTAAGGATTTGTTCTAATGAAAGATTCAGGTAAGTTGGTTTTAACACGGCTCGATCATGTCCTGCTATAAAATAAAATAAACGAATGGTTTATTTTATTCAGGAATTGTCCCACATATTCTGTTGAGTCAAGGAAAATAAGTGAATGCTATAAAATCACATCTTCGATTCTCTCCACTTCTATATTTCTAGTGGTCATGTGATTTTAAATTAGATTAGATTGTATGTTAGATATGGAACACCCTTTTCAACAGTTACGTTTTCTTGGGGCTTATCTGTATTTCATGACATGTACATGCAAGATCATTTTTTTTCCAATGTCATTTCTGAATAGAAGTGTTGAAGCAAAGTAAGCCGATGTGATTTTTCAACATAAGCTTCAAACATAATTTTTCAAATGGAAATTAAGTTGAGTTTGACTGGAATAAATAAATGATTGTTGCTTTAAAAAGAGGCATGTGTTATGCTATTTTTGAATACAAACTTATTTTTAAAGAATTACACATCTAACTTGTGTTTTTATTCATTCCTGCTTGTTGCATTTGAATTTTCATGTTGGATGTATTGCATTTTTACTTGCATCTTTGTGAGCTTTTACACTCAGTTTTCCGAAACACACGGAAAATTATGCGTTAGTTAATTTTGAGACGTATGAGCTTAAATTGTCCTGTCAAAAAATGAAGCTACATATTCTGTTGTGCTTTTTAAGGTTTATTAAAATTGTTTTTTGATATACCTTGTAAAATATAGGTGGGCACATCAATCAGATTATCTGTACCAAGTCAGTAACAATTTGATGTGTTGAATATTTCAATTTCCTCTCAAATGATAAATTGTTGCAACTTACCATTAATTTTGTTGAAGTTCCATCTTAAGTTTGAAAATAATTCAAAGGAAAAACCTAAAGGTTTGGTGCTACAATCAAACTAAAATTAAAAGCGTCGCTATGGAGAGAGGTCACGATCTTTTTTAAGACTGTATCAGATCGATACTACAATATGCAGTACCTTATCTCAAACCTTAAAATAAAAACGAAATAAAAAAATCATAGGAGTGTATTGCTGTAAAGATTAGAGGTGAGTGGCTCTTAAAAGAGCCTTTGTGGGTGTGCGCTCCAGCAGCGTTGACGGGCAGCAGCTCTACTTGGCCTTGGCGGCCTTCTCGGTCTTCTTGGGCAGCAGCACCGCCTGGATGTTGGGCAGCACTCCACCCTGAGCGATGGTGACTCCACCCAGCAGCTTGTTGAGCTCCTCGTCGTTGCGGACGGCCAGCTGCAGGTGACGGGGGATGATGCGGGTCTTCTTGTTGTCGCGGGCAGCGTTTCCAGCCAGCTCCAGGATCTCAGCGGTCAGATACTCCAGGACGGCCGCCAGGTAGACGGGGGCTCCGGCACCAACACGCTCCGCATAGTTGCCTTTGCGCAGCAGCCTGTGGACGCGGCCCACGGGGAACTGCAGTCCTGCGCGGGAGGAGCGAGTCTTGGCCTTGGCTCTGGTCTTTCCTCCGGTTTTGCCTCGTCCGCTCATTGTGAAGCTTCT